CTAGTATTACAGGCGTGAGCCACCAGCGCCCGGCTTCTTTTCATTTTTTAAAAAATGTAAACCATCTGGGAGCTCGTGGCTCATACCTATACTCCTAGCTAATTAGGAAACTGAGATCTGAGGATCACAGTTCAAAGCCAGCCTGGACAGAGAAGTTCCTGTGATTCTTTTTTTTTTTTTTGGTGGTTGTGGGGCCTGAACTCTGGGCCTGGGCACTGTCCTTGGCTAGCACTCTCCCACTTGAGCCATAGCACCACTTCTGGCTTTTTCTGCTTATGTGATGCTGAGGAATTGAACCCAGGGCCTCATGCATGCAAGGCAAGCACTCTACCTCTGAGCCACCTTCCCAGCCCCTCCTGTGAGATTCTTTATCTCCAATTAACTACTCAAAAGCTGGAAGTGGAGCTATGGTTTAAAGTGGTAGAGCACTAGCCTTGAGCAAAAGAGTTCAAGGCGCTGAGTTCAAGTTCAATCACCACAATGACCAAAAACATAAATAAATTATATATATATATACATAGAGAGAGAGAAAAAGAGAGAGAGAGGGAGAGAGAGGAGGGAAGGGGAGAGAGAGAGAGAGAGAGAGAGAGAGAGAGAGAGAGAGTGAGCACAAGCAGGCTGGCCTAAAACTCAAGATCTTCCTGCTTCAGTCTCCTGCCTGCTGGGATAACAGGCATGTACCACTGTGCCTGGCTTAAGATCTAACCTACTTTATGATACATTTTCTCGTATTCATATAATTCTTGCACTGATAGAGAATTTCTGTTAAATCTAGAAGTAATAGATTTTTTTAAAATCCCAACAAGTATCAGAAGTCACTAAAAGATAGTGATAAAAGTAATTATCACTCATTTGTGGTATACATGTTAGGAATAGAATAGCTTTTTTTCCCTAGTTATCATCTCCTCTACATATTGTGTCTAGAAATTAGAACTGATCTAAGCACCAGGAAGTCTGGGTCCAAACTTGCTCTGCTGTGTGTGTGTGTGTGTGTGTGTGTGTGTGTGTATGTGTGTGTGTGCGTCCATGTGCGCAGGCACATGCATGCATGCTGCTTTTAGGGCTTGAATTCAGGGCGTAAGTGCTGTCCCTGAGCTTTTTTTTCTTTTCCTCAAGGCTAGTGCTTTACTACTTGAACCACAGCTCCACTTCTGGCTTTTTGGTGGTTAATTAGAGGGGCTAGGAAGGTAGCTCAGTGGTAGAGTGCTTGCCTGGCATGCATGAGGCCCTGGGTTTGATTCCTCAGCACCATATAGGCAGAAAAAGCTGGAAGTGGCACTGGGGCTCAAATGGCAGAGTGCTAGCATTGATCTTAAGAGCTGAGGGACAGCGCCCAGGCCCAGAGTTTAGGCCCCATGACTGGACCCAAAAACAAACAAACAAACAAACAAAAAAACCTTTCTGAGTATTAGGGTAAAAAATGTGTTCATTGGGCTGGGAAGGTGGCTCAGTAGTAGAGTGCTTGCCTTGCATGCATGAGGCCCTGGGTTCAATTCCTCAGCACCACATAAACAGAAAATGCTGGAAGTGGCGCTGTGACTCAAGTGTTAAGAGTGCTAGCCTTAAGCTGAAGAGCTGAGGGACAGAGTTCAGGCCCCACGAATGACATAACTAACTAAATAAATAAATGTGCTCATTGTGTAAAAAATAAAAAATGCACTCTGACAAAATTTCTATCATCAAAGAGACAACCATTGTTAGCATTTTTGTATGGTCCATATGGGTTTGTTTGTTTTATTGGTGGTATTGTGGTTTGAACTTGGGGCTTCACACTTGCTAAGCAAGTACTCTACTACTTGAGTCACTCTGCCAATCTCTTGTCTTGGTTATTTTCCAGATAGGATTTCACTTTCTGGACCATGATTCTTCTATTTGTATTTCCTTTTTTCACTGGAATGACAGGCATGTGCCAATGTACCCAGCCATTGTACTTCCCCCCATGGCTTGAGATGACAGACACGTGCTACCATATCCAGACATTAATTGAAACGGAGTCTCAAGAATTTTTATATTCAGGCTCACCTCAAAATTGCAATCACCTGCTCTCTACCTTCCAGAGCAGCTAGTATTATAGGCTTCAGCCACCACACCCAGATGTTCTGATGTTCTCTATGTTCTTCCACTCCCCCCAAAATTGGAATAACAGGAGGTATGGCTCAGCAGTAAAGCACCTGCCTGCAAGCATAAGGCCCTGAGTTCAACTCCAGTACTGAAACAAAAAAAAAAAAAGCTGGCATAACAGTGTACTGTTTTGTATTTTGTGCATTAATTTGTTTTAAATGTTTTGCTAACTAGTTAAGATCTTGTCAGGATGTTCCAGTAGTGACTTCAAGAAGAATTTTGCAACAAACTATCTGCTGTTTTTCAAGGAAGGAAGAAGTCTTCAGTGGTGTAAGACTCAGAGAACTGTCTTGTTGCAATAACTATTCTATTAATCAGATTGTGTTCACATCTTCTCACTCAGAAATGGGCTGACTAAATGCTGCAAACATAATGTGTCATAACGCGGCTAGCTCAAAGCAAGGACTGTTTATCACAGATGCCTGCTACAACTACGTGCAGTCCAGCTCTATGGAAACCTGATGGTGGCCAGGTGAAAGGGGAGTTTGGGAAAGGTTAGGGTAACACAAGCAGGTCAACTTCAGAGACACAAACTTCAGCATGTAACTAAGTCATTACATCAGACAAGAAACAGTCTCACCTCCCTAAATATTGTATTAAAAAATGGTTATAATCCTAGCTACATGAGGCTGAGATCTGAGGATCACGGTTCAAAGCCAGCCCAGGCAGGAAAATCCAGGAGACTCTTATCTCCAATTAAACACCCAAAAGCCAGAAGCAGAACTATGGCTCAAGTGATAGAGTGCTAGTCTCAAGCAAAGAAAGCTAAGGGACAAGGGCTGGGAATGTGGCTGAGTGGTAGAATGCTTGCCTAGCATGCATGAAGCCCTGGATTAGATTCCTCAGTACCACATACACAGAAAAAGCTGGAAGTGGCACTGTGGCTCAAATGGCAGTATGCTAGCCTTGAGCAAAAGAAGCTCAGGGACAGTGCCCAGGCCCTGAATTCAAGCCCCCGGACTGGCAAAAAATAAAAATAGAAGAGCTATAGCCAACATCAAGAAAACTGCGAAGGAAGTGATGGTCCTGAGCATGGATCTGTATTATAACTGAGAACAAATTGGTCACAGTCAGTAACAAGCACATGTGACATCATTAAGTGTCAGGTAGTATCTCACCCAGAGGAAAGAAATGGCACATTCATATAGAGAGACAGCCTAGCTTAGCAATGAGCTAAAATCCAATGCCCAGACACTTGCCCTCAGTGTTGCCAACTAGCCCAGAGGCAGTGTGGCAGCAGTAGGGGTAGAGCTTGAGATCAAAAGAAGACAAAACCAGGCTTTCTGGAAACAGTGTGGGAAAACAGATGGCCTGACTGCACAGTGGTTTTCCAAGTTCCTGTTGGGAAGCGAGGTCAGGCATCTGAAGTCTATGGAGTTCTTACTCAGTCCTTACCTAGAAAAATTACTTTATAGTTTAAGCAATGAAGATTGAGAATAACAGTAGTGTTTCTTGAGCAGTTACTCTTAGCCCAACTCACACATATATTACATATAAATAAACATGGATATCCCATATTATGTTATTTAACCTGCCATGATATGCATTCTATTATTTTTGTTTTTGTTGGTCATGGGGTTTGAACTCTGGTCCTGGGCACTGTCCCTGAGCTCTTCAGCTCAAGGCTTGAGCCAGAGTGGCACCAGTTTTCTGGTGGTTAATTGGAGATAAGAGTCTCATGGATACTCCTGCCTGGGCTGGCTTTGAACCGTGATCTTCTGATCTTAGCCTCCTGAGTTGCTTGGATTTACGGCGTGAGTCACCAGCGCCCAGCTTCTAATATTTTTATTTTAGCTTATTTTTGTGCTGGTACCGAGGCTTGAACTCAGGACCTCATGTTCTTCCTTGCCTTTCTTGCTCAAGGCTGTTGTTCTACCACTGAGCCACACCTCTACATCTGGCTTTTTGCTGGTTATTAGGAAATAAAAGCCTCACAGACTTTTATGCCCAGGTTGGCCTTGAACCATGATCCTCAGATCTCAGCCTCCTGAGTAACTAGGATTATAGGAGTGAGTAACCAGTGCTCAGCTGCATGTGTCATTTTATTATTATTATATATATACATATATGTGTATACATATGTGTGTATATATTTTTGTTGTTGTTGTTGTTGTTTTGTTTTTTTGGTCAGTCATGGGGCTTGAACTCTGGGGCTGGGCACTGTTCCTGAGCAATTCAGCTCAAGGTGAGCGCTCTACCACTTGAACCACTGCGCCACTTCTGGTTTTCTGGTGGTTTATTGGCGATAAGAGTCTCACAGACTTTCCTGCACAGGCTGACTTTTAACCGAGGTCCTTGGATCTTCTGAGTAGCTAGGAATACAGGTGTGAGCTCAGCCTGCATCTGTCATTTTAAAGGAAAAGAACCAGAGACAGGCTGGGGCAATCACTGGGCACAAAATGGATGCAATTCTCCACCAAGATGCCATGCAGACATTGGGTCTTTCTTGACTTAGTTACTTGATGTGTTCTACTTACATTGGGCAGTTGGTAGAAAAAGGGTCCCATCTTCACCACAAGGAGCAGCATCACACCTGCGCCTACCAGAGATGCAAACTGAGGAGACAGAGCCGGTTGGAGAGAAACCATCAGGAATTTATTGGTCCCTGTCTGTACCTGAGGCCTTCTGCTTGGTGAGAAGCATGTCACTGTTTCTTAAAAGGAGCTGGGATCAGCATGAGAACATTTCTAAAGTAAAAACTGATATTTGTAGGGTCTTACCAAAGGGCTAAGCACATAGCAGGGACAAAACAGGTATCTGTTGAATGAATATGGTCTGAAAATATACAAGTTTTCCTGGGTATTGAATCTTTATTGCTACAGCTTTGTGCTAGGAACGTTTCGCCTCTCCTTGGACATTTTTAGAGAGTCCCTAAGTTGACTTCTTACTAATGGCTTTAAAAGTATAACCTTTCTGTTGATGTAAACATGCGTAAGCATTCTGCCCAGCAACGCTTCTGCTGGGAGCTTGCATAACTTCCCATCTAAAGGCTTCTGGGGTGTTTCATCCTTAAGAACACAATGATGATTACTTCCCATTTTCCTGCCTCAGATTCTGTCTGCTAGGAGCTGAGGCTACACACAGACAGCAACCCTGGATTCAAGCCTAGCCATTCACTACTGGGCCCAGTGCCACTCAGAATGCAGGAATCAGCACCTGGCAAATGAGGCTGAGAAACACAGTTCCCTTTAGAATCCCTAGGCTCTGTGGACATGGTCTGGAGCTCATTATCTCCTCTATTGATAAATTTCTATCTTTTAAAGCTTCTGGTAGTAAAAAATAACATAAAGCAATGTCATTTCCCACTGTGATAGGAGTAAAACTGTCACCGCAAATCAAAACAGTGGCCAGAAGTTAGGGAGTCCCTCCAGTCTGTCCAATCAGCCATTTGGTATTGTTTCTCTATTCACCCCCTCACCCTTTCCATGTGTCTCATTTTGGCAGTATTGGTGTTTGAACACATTTTCCCTTCTCTTTTTTGTCAGTCATGGGGCTTGAACTCCAGGCCTGGGTGCTGTCCCTCAGCTCTTCAGCTCAAGGCAAGCGCTCTATCACTTGAGCCACAGCACCACTTCCAGTTTTCTAGTGGTTTATTGGAGATATGAGTTTCATGGACTTTCCTTCCCGGGCTGGCTTTGAACCATGATCCTCAGATCTCAGCCTCCTGTGTAGCCTTTTCCCTCTTTCATAAATTCTGTGTGTTTGTGTGTGTGTGTGTGTTATTATTGTAGGGCTTGAACCCAGGGCCTGGGAGCTGTTCTTGAGCTCTTTTGCTCAAGGCTAGCACTCTACCACTTTGAGCCACAGTTACACTTCTAGTTTTTGTGGTTAATTGGAGCATAAGAGTCTCATAGGGCTGTTCTGTTCAGGCTAGCTTCGAACCATGATCCCCAGATCTCAGCTTTCTGAGCAGCTAGGATTGCAGGGTTTAGCCCCCAGCACCTGGCTTATAACTCATTTTTAAAAGCAGTTCTAGGAATGAGGGACAAGGCAAGAAATCCATTCCTAAGGGGTCAGGAAACAAGCCTATGTTCAGACCTTGGAGGAGTTGCGTTATGGAGTAGGGACACTGGAACTGGCCACTGGCCTTGGGCTCCTCTTTTCTTCTCTGCCATGGTCAGACCTGTCAAATCCCAGGTGAGGCCATGGCCAGAAGAGCCAGTAGGTTTTGTTACTTGCTGTCACCAATGGAAGGAAATGGTGTTTTTTCTAGACAGAGAAATAACAAAGTGGAATTCAGACACATATCCTCTGTTTGACTTCAGGCCAGCTAAGAAGTAAAAATCAAATGACCCTTTGTGGCAGGTCATTTGGGAGAGGTTCAGAGCCAGCCTCTACTTTTCTTTCCTGGAGTCCTGAGAATCTTTGAAAAAGAGGGATCTGCTCTCATATAGAGTGGATTAAACCAACCACAACCACAACATCTGTAGCTTGGGGGTTGGAGAAGCTAGCCCCTTGCTGTGGGATGAAGGCTGATTGAGTCTGGGCAATCTTTTCTGATGCAGGTTATAAAGTCAGAGTGGGTCTGGGAAGCTCTGTGTGTGGGGCCAGAGCCTACAGCATTCCTGCTTGAGCCCATGATTTGCATTGGCCTATTGGTATCTTTGGGGGAGGGCTTACTGGCATCTCAAGGGACATGCCTTTGCACTGAGGTGACAGGTGTCATTGCTGAGAATGTGCTGCTACAGCAAAGCAGAAAGCAGGTCACAGGCTGCCTTTGGGTCAGGCCTTTTGCCCAATGACTAAAATGTTAGGAACAGGCTGGTTCAGAGCTTAGACATGCCATCATATGCTGCGGTGTTTCCAAAGCTTGGCCTTTCTCTTCCCTAAATCAGTGAGTAGGGCCAGCAAGGCTATTTTTCCTCAGGAGTACTTCACACAGGACAGTGTCCTGCTTCTGCAATAGCTCTGGGGCTGATCTGAAGGTCCTCTTCCTCCTCCCATCTGACATGTCCCCTGTACATATCCTGGCCACCGGAAGTGGAAGTGTGGCTCAAGTGGTAGGAAAGCCAACCTTGAGTGAAAAAGCCAAGTGAGAACACAAGGCCCTGAGTTCACGCCCCGGTACTGCACCATATCTTAGCCCCATCTTGGGACACTTTCCCCATCATTCTCCTCCTCACAAGACTTATGGCTCTTTTTGTTGGCTGTGTCCATTCTGCACTTGATTTTCCTTGCACTGTGATTCAACCTTTTCCAACTGCGCATATCTTGTCTCCCCAAATTGGTATTACACGTACATACTTGAGTCAATAAAGCATGCTGTAAAAAGTTAATGGAACTGATTTCTGGAATTGCCATTTCTATTTCTTCTTATATAAAACCCCTTTGTTCTGATTCCAGAAGTTTTGCATGCCTGCACAGAAAATCCTTCCTTTTAACACAGCCCGCGCAGCTCCTTTCTGTCAGGCAGGAGACGATAGGCCCAGCGAGCCTGGGAGATGCTCTGTGAAACTCAGTCTGCATAAAACTGCAGGCTGAAATCTCACCCAGGCCCTTGCTCTCAACCCTGCCTAATCTTCCTGACTTTCCATTTCATTTTATAATCACCTGTGGACTGTGATACTTTTATCTTTCATTCATTAAAACCTAGTGGCCATTCTCCTGACACATCAGCCTCTGATTGTGGCTGTGCTTGTCACTGTGCTTCTGAGGCATGCGTTTGCCTTTGACCTTGGCCACTATTTCTCTGCCATTGGAACCCATCCTGACTCATTCCCGGGGCTTGCGAGAGTTTCAATCCTGATAACTCTGTCATTTCATCACAACACAGAGCCAAGACACCATGCCCTTGGAGTATCCTGTTTTGATTTTTGTCTAGTCACTTCAAAACTCAAACATTGGACTGACAAAGCCTACAATTAGGTGACCTTTAGAATAGTTACTATCACTATCCCTTGACTCTCACATTCAGTTTACTAAACATTTAGTTTATTCATTCAGACTACTTGAAGAATCTTATATAGGTGATTTTTTAAGCAAAGTTAGAATGGTCCTAGTTTTCTCAGACTCTCCTAGACAAATGCTTGACCCCTTCTCAGGTCTTATGATTTTTTTTTTTATTTTTTGGAACAGCCACAGACCCAGATCCTCCTACTTCTGCCTCCCAAGTAGCTGAGATTACAGGTATACTACCATGCTTTGGGATCGATCAATCTACCTATCTATCTATCTATCTATCATTTTTTGATTGGGTATGGGGCTTGAACTATGGGCCTGGATGTTGTCCCTGAGCTCTTCAGCTCAAGGTGAGTGCTCTACCACTTGAGCCACAGTACCACTTCCATGGAACCAGTAATTTTTAAGACAGAAATCTAAGCAAAAATTAAGTTAAGTATAGAATCATCATTCTTCCAAATAAAGGTCTGCCCATAAAGCATAACATTAAAGTTAGAATTAAACCCATTTATTTACTTCTGTGAACATACACCCTAAGTCAACTTAATTATCTGTCTCATTATACATATTAGAGATGAAATTCTTTTGCAACACACCTGTTGTCTTCCTCCAGACTTGTCTTGGATAATAGTCCTGGCAAGAGCACCAGTAAACACACACGATTTGAAAAAGGAACTGGCCACATTGCAAATGCCAATGGCTATCAAATCCTGAAAAGAAATGCAGACCCTTCAAGCCCATTTTTTGTTGAATACTTGAATTTGGAAATAAAGATATAGTTTATTTATTTTTATTTTATTTTATTGCCAGTCCTGGGGTTTAAACTCAGGGCCTGGGCACTGTCCCTGAGCTTTTTTTGTTCAAGGATAACACTGTACCACTTGAGCCACAACATCACTTCCAGTTCCTTCTGTTTATGTGGTAATGAGGAATGGAACCCAGAGCTTCATGCATACTAGGCAAGCATTCCAGCACTGAGCCATATTCCCAGCCCTACAGTTTATTTTTATGAGTGGGATTTTTTTTAAGTTTTTTTTTTTTTTTGCTTATATGGTGCTGGAGAATCGAACCCAGGGCCTCAGGCATGCAAGGCAAGCGCTCTACCACTGAGCCACCTTCCCAGTCCATGAGTGGGATTTAAGGTCATTTATATCATTTTTTTTTTCCAGGGTTGAGGACCGAACCCAGGGCCTTGCGCGCGCCGGGCGGGCGCCCTTCCGCTGGGCTAAACCCTCAGCCCCATTTATATCATTTTTAATAACAGATTGAGATAATTTTAGAAAGAACACAAAGATGGCAAATTTTAATTTCTAGATGAAGTTGCACTTTGTCTTAGCTATCAGACATAAGGAAGCACTTTTTAAAGGTGACAAAACAAGATTCTTGCCTTATTCTCCTCTATCTCACACGCACTGGGACTCTAACAGAAAGAACCACAGTGTGTTCTTCTCCCTTCCTTCTACACTACTCTAAGATCCAACTAGGACATCCTTTGCCTCTGTCTTTTACTCTGTGTTCAAGGACTAAAATAAAAATAAAAGCAAAGCCAGAATAAGTGATTTTTGCTTTCAATCCTAGCTACTCAGGTGACTGAAATCTCAGGATCCTGGTTCAAAGCCAGCTTGAGCAGAAAACTCTGTGAGACTCTTATCTTGAATTAACAAGCAAAAAAAGCAGAAGTGGAGCTGTGGCTCAAGTGATAGAGGGCCAGCCTTCAGCAAAAAGGCAAAACGAAAGCATGAGGTTTTGAGGTCAAGCTCTCTTATTGGCACAACAAACAAAAGAAACATAAAAGCATAGCCGGGCACCGGTGGCTCACGCCTGTAATCCTAGCTACTCAAGAGGCTGAGATCTGAGAATCGCGGTTCAAAGCCAGCCCGGGCAGGAAAGACTTTGAGACTCCTATCTCCAATAAACCACTAGAAAACCGGAAGTGGCGCTGTAGCTCAAGTGGTAGAGCGCTCGCCTTGAGCTGAAGAGCTGTGGGACAGTGCCCAGGCCCAGAGTTCAAGCCCCATGACCGACCAAAAAAAAAAAAAAAGAAACATAAAAGCAAAGACCAAGAGGCCAACTTGATTACATAAATTAGCAACCTGGTGTTGTATATGATATGCCATACCTTTATTTATGTATTTGGTAGTCTGTGGGGCTTGAATTCAGGGCCTGAGTTCTGTCCCTGAGCATTTTTGCTCAAGACTGTACTCTACCACTTGAGTCACAGCTCCACTTTCATCTTTGTAGTAGTTAACTGGAGATAAGAGTCACAGACTTGCCTGCCTGGTCCAGCTTCAAACCACAATCCTTATATTTCAGCCTCCTGAGAAGCTAAGATTACAGATGTGTATGTGTGTGTGTGCGCGCGCACGAGTGTGCATGCACATGCATGTGCTTGTATGTATGCTGGGCTGGCTTCAAACTGAGATTCAGCCTCCTGAATAGGCATAATTATAGGTGTGAGCCATCCATGCCCAACACTACATAATTTTTTGTTATGTATTTATGTGTTTAACTTTTTAGGATGTGTTTGAAAAAAAAGATTAAAATTATGAAGAGAGGAACTCTTCTAATTCAACAATACAACATCAGCATATTATCTTCTTGTCTTTCTGACCGGCATCTGTCCTAGGGGAGATAATACTTTTTAATTCAAGTGGCTTCAACATTAAAGATCCTTTTACTTCTCAAAGATCTGTTTGTGATTGCTCTTTAAATTATGGTCCAGGTGACACTCTGTTTAAAGAAGAATGGACAGAACATTAGAGAACAGAGACTTCTGAGACAGAGGAAGTATTAGCCCCCCTCACCTGGTTGGAATTGACTTTGTAGTGATGGGGGCTGGCAATCTTCTTGCCAGTAAATATGATCAGAAAGGCGCTCACCAAAGATAAGGAGATGGCTTGGAAGATAATTTTGGGAATAATGCTGATGTCTGGTGTCACCGGAGAGATGAAGCTAGAAAAAGAAATGGTGGAATTATTCCCAGGTAATATGAGTTCTTTGCTGGCCTCTTCCCACCCCTCCTTCTTTCTCATAGTGCTGGTGGTGCCCCACCTCCTCTCTCTCTCTCTCTCTTTCTCTCTCTTTCTTTTTAAGTAACAATAAAGGATATAAAGAATAACTAAGCCAGCTGCTTGTCAAAACTGCTGACAAACACCAAAAAAAGGTACAAAAGTCACTAAGAGAATATGATGTTTGTGTGTGTGTGTGTGTGTGTGTGTGTGTGTGTGTGTGTGTGATGAGGCTTGAACTCAGGGCCTGGGCACTGTCCTTAGCTTTTTAAATTTTCTTCTTCTTCTCAAGGTTTTCACTCTAGCACTTGAGCCAGAGTTCTATTTCTGGCTTTTTGCTAGTTAATTGGAGATTAAAGTCTCACAAAAGCTAGGCACTGATGACTCATGTTTGTAATCTTAACTACTCAGGGGGCTGAGATCTGAGAATCATGGTTGAAGGCCATCAGGGGAAAAAAGTTTGTGAGATTCTTATCTCCAATTAAACTTCAGAAAGGAAGTAAAGCTGTGGTTCAAATTGGTAGAATACTAGCCTTGAACAAAAAAGCTCAGGGAAGGTGGCTCAGTGGTATAGAGTGCTTGCCTTGCATGCATGAGGCCCTGGGTTCGATTCCTCAGCACCACATAAGCAGAAAAAGAAAAAAAAAGCCTGAAGTGGCGCTGTGGCTTAAGTGGGAGAGTGCTAGCCTTGAGCTGAAGAGCTGAGGGACAGCGCCCAGGCC